ATGGCAGCAGGAGAAAGAGACTCAGTGGAAGGGCTGGAGTCCAGGTGGGGAAGAGAAGCAGAGTCCAAGTCCTTGGTTGAAGAGGGGGTGGTGGGTGATAGCTACCTATCCAGGCTGGAAAGGGGTCCTTGTCCAGTAGGTGTTGTCCAGAGTGGGGTCGCTGGCAGGACCTCTGGGTGGTGGTCCTTGTGGTGTTGCATGGTGCTGGTCCAGACCCCCTGGGTCTGTCTGCACTGCCCGTTTTTATAGGGGCAGACCTTGTGTGACCCTAGTGACAGGAGGCATGCCCAGGCAAGGGTCAGCCCCTGGTGTACTGTGTGCGCTCCATGCAGGGATGTGCAGTTTCAGGTGTCTGTAAGGGTGGGGTACAATGGTAGAGTTGCTGGTTCTGCAGGGTTTTTTGTCTTTCAAATGCTGGGTTCTTGTCTCTGTTCCTGGGTGAGGTCCGTGGTTCCTGGATGAATCATTGCGAGGTGATGGCTCAGTCCTTACAGGCCATTCAGTAGAGGCCTGCTACCATTGTATTTCAATCATTCCCCATCATTCTCATTCATCTGGGAACCAATTTGCATGGGAGGGGTACGTGACTCATACAGGAGATGCCCGGGCAGAGGACACAAGATGGAGACTTGATATACAAAATGGAAACTTGATATTACTTTGGTTCACTTACAAACACAGGCCTAAACCATACAATATCCATATGAAACAGTAAAAATCAATACGGAAATGATAATAATACAATATACAACAGTAAGAATCAATACAAACCTAATAATAATACAATATAACACAATGGATATCCAAACCCCAAAACTTGCTACCAAAATAAAATGTTAAAACTTATCCTACACCTTAGCTTACTTATACTTATCTAGGGAATAGAGAGGGAGAGAAAAAGTCAGAAATGTTTGGGGAAGGGGAGGGATTGCATTTTAAAATAAATTTTAAAAAAAAGGAAAAACTGGAGGTTTTGCTCCAAGACTAGTAAATTAAAATTTAAAAGTCACTATAGCAACAGGGAAATCAAAATCCTGATGTTATCCAGTTGGATTATGATTTGAATTTCTGATTTTAGTAATAGGGATTAGTAAACCTGAACATTAGTACACAAATCTGCATCAGTGGATTTGTATATTCTAGTATCAAAACATTTATTTATCACTGAAAATGCATGCTGCTATTTTATGAAAGTAAATCTAGAGGGTAGGATTTGGGAGTAGGAAGTTTAATTTAACTGCAAGTACATGTGACAAACAGGCAAAATGTCTCATTTAGCTGGTGCTGCTTGCTTGTATTTTTTAACCTACCACATGTTGGTAAGCAATAAATGGCAGAAGAGATGCAATCTAAATGCCCACTGATCTTTATGTGATATATCAACTGCAGTTTATGAGCAATCCTACTAAAATTAGTGGAGTAAGATAAGCATTTCAGATAGTTGTGAAGTTCTGTTTCTACACTACTATGAAAATAATAAATACCATCTTTGGTTTCATTCCTTGCAGAAGCCTAATATTGGTTTCCATTACTACCAAAGGAAAGATTCGGAAGTGTTGGAAAGGGATCGTAAACTTGGCCAATCTTTATGATGGCCTCCTATGGCTCCTGGCAGATATTATATGTGTTATGCAGTATGTGCGAATACCACACAACAAATCGCAACATGCCAGATATTAAAGCAGCTAATCCCTGGATAATAATGGCAGAGCCAGCCACAAAGAAGTTTCTTGTTGAACAGTAAATTCTTTAGGGTGCAAAAATATTTCTCAAGAATTTATCATGTGACCGTGTGACATGTTACAATATGTCATGTGATATTTACAAATAACATGCATCAAACATAAAATCTGCCACAGCCCTAAAATATAACCCAGAGAAATTATGCTTCCAAAAATTGATGTTGCTACTCCAAAATTGATCCAATTTTTCATGTCAAGACTCTTTAACACCAGAAGCTACTCATTAATTATGCTATGATTAAAGCTAGTCAGAAAATTGCCAACTGGAGAATTTTCTATTGGAAAATGCTAATTGAAATCAGACTATTCCCCAGGAATATTTTGGTTTCTACAAAAACTAATTATAGAAGTAAAATAAAAGTAAGGCATTTTGATAAGGTCAAAATAGAATATTTCAACCTTATTGAAAGGAATGTCAGTGTTTTGAGTTTGAAACATGTTATTATTCTGAAGCATTTATAAGTTATAAAATGTTATAAAAGAAAGTGTCAAAATGAAACAGTGATATTGACCTGACTTTAAATTTTTGTTTGGGGACATTTTTAAAAAAGTATTCATTTGAAAATAAACTGCAACATAGCGTTATTTCTCATGAAATGGAAATTCTGGTTTTCAACATAGCTGTGATCATGATTTGGTTTGGTCTTCCCATGTCCACCAAAACTTTCCAAAAGAAGATATCATCTGCCAAAGAAAAATGTCAGTTGGGGGACAAATTCAAGGCAAACCTCTAGTAATTTGATTCTATACCTGAAAAATTATAATGAATTAATACATTTTAATACATGTAGAATCTAATTATTGGAGGGATATTCTTACGTTCAAGTAAATATGGTAATCTTTGTTGCTGCCATTACATTTACTGTAAATTTACTCTTGGCCTATAGTGTTGATCAAATTTAAGACAGTCTCCTTAGAGGTGCCTTGAGCTGGTGATGTTATTTTATTGGCTTACACAACAGCATATGTATTATTTATCTACTATCACATTTTGGCAAATAAGTTTAATAGCAGTTACCAAATGTAATGTATTGTAAAAAACTTTGATACATATCAGGCTGTCCTACTCTTTCCATATCTGTACAGCTAGAAACTATTCAAGCCACAGGTGCACAGAATGCATTGGCTTGCCCTAAAATTCTATTACATCTGTGCTTCTTAATTAGCAGCCTCACTCTTACGTGTATTAGCTTCCAACTTTGGTACACCTGTAGTTCAAGATACCAGTTCTGATCAATGAAGTCCTCAGCAGGTTGGTTCTTCAGATTAGCTAGGATAATCTTGGGTTAAATCAATAGAAGTTTTTAAAAAAGTGTTTTACAGGAAACTGTTCCAGGAGCGGATCTAGGATTTTGAAAAAAAGGATGCAGGTGGTGTGGTACATCATCTCATATAAGACAGCGCATTTTTCTCCAGTTAAAAAGAAACTAGAAACTTTACTAATCTGTTAGGAGCCCAGGCTGTATTATTAAGTTTATGGTCAATGCAAAGACAAATATAACTTTATTGGAATATACATTAATCTGCTATATCATATAGTATGTATAAAAAATGCAACACACTAAGCAAAGAATAATAATAAAAATATAGCCATTGGAATTACATGTACATCTCTATTTCAGTTTCATAAAACAAAATCTAGCTTCTTGAGCATCTTGACAGGGCAACCAGTGCTTCATGGAAAGCTATTTCTACAGTTGATTAAAGTTCACTTGAATGAATGTTTTAACACCTGAGTTAATGTATTCAGCTAGAGTTTAAAACAGTCTGCAGGGCCATGGGGTGGGAGCTACATTATCAGGAGAAGCTAACAGACAGCAGATTGTGGGAGAAGGGATAGCTTGCTTTGTGAAACATCGAAGCTATTAAAAAAGAGGGAGGTCTTTAATGAAGAGTTCAGAAGAAATTTGGTAGATTATAATTAGGGGTCTACTTAAATCACTGTTAGACTTACCAGTTTTTGTGGGTCAGCTGTGTCATAAAGAGCAGATTTCATGGACATTTTGTGCTTGTGCTCCAGCAGTCCCACCTGTCTGCGCTGATTGGCAGAGAGGCCCTGGGAGGGAGGAGGCACAAGGAGGCAGCTGCCAACCTCACTGCTGGCTGCTCTGTCCCTGGGTGCTGATTGGCAGAGGGACCCTGGGAGGGAGGGACAAGGGGGTGGCCACCATCTTGACAGCTGACTGCCCTTTGTGCAACCCTGCCCTTCAGTGCTGATTGGCAGAGAGGCCTTGTGGGAGGAGGGACAAGAGAGTGGTGGCCATTTTTACTGTTGCCTTTTGTGCCACTCTGCCAGCCAGTGTCTTCTGCTCCCAGGCAGGCTGCAAGACTGGGCTGGAGAGACAGTGAGGAATGCTGTCTCCCACTGTGGAGAAAGCATATTATTTTTATTAAGGGTTTTTTGGTTGTTTTTTTTTGTTTTTGTGAATGATCTCCAATTTTGCAGTTTCTGGTGGGGAGGAGGGATGTCCTTGTCCCTCCTTCCCCCAAGGATTTCCACAAAACCATGATTTAAGTAGACCCCTAATTATAATGATCCATAAGTCAAGTGACTGACCCAGGTGGTTTTAAACTTTGGGTGGATCAGGAATCGAAGTGGGAGCATATAACTGCACCACTGACCTTCCCCCACACCCCACCATGCCTGATCCACCCTTGACTGCTTCTCCCAAGTTTCATGATTTAGCTGGCCTACTTAGTCTCATTTCTGATGGGATTTCCTATGGCATGAGAATTAAAGAGAAAAGTTTCTTAATCCAGATGGGTTGGAAGGATATGCAAATAAATTAGTATTTTTGCACATAATGTTTTGGGTTTTTTAAATACATGTATCCAAATAAGATGTGCATGCTTTATACATCAAAATACAGGAATAAAAGTAACAGAAAAAATCAACCAAGAAAATAATAAGTGTATGTCAGTAACACAAACAGGAGAGGTAAGTTTTAATTAGAATCAACATGAAAAATGCTAGAGCCCAGCAAAATAGAAAATGAAGATTCACCTGCAGTTTGATAAATTGTTTTAATCTGTGACACAAGAATTCAGATGCCTTACTTAGTTGCACTAGACAGAATATGGTAAAAATCTTGAAAGGGGGCATTCTCAGGGTCACAAAAAAGGAATGAACAGATTTTCATCCCACTGAGAAACAACCTAAGACTAATCAGAAGACTGTTCAACAGCCGTTCCACCTTGGAAACTAAAACACCTATTTTTAAATCTCTTCTTAAATGTAGAAAACTTCACTGCACTCGGAACTACATCCACCTGAACTTGTTCCTCTCTTTCATTCTAAGAGCAATCTCTGTTTTAGTCAAGGATGATATTCTCTATTCCAACTCCAACACAGCTCACTGTCCAAAGGATCAAACATCATGGGTAATGAAACACTTTTGGCTACATGGTGTAATGCTGTTGCCTTGTAAACTTCTTCTTCCAGTGAACATTTGGAAACAAAAGTTGTCAGTATAGGGAAATGTGAGAGAACTTTAAGGGCTGGCAAGCATGCCCCATAAAAGTAGGTTGCAGCTGTGGAAGAAGGAAGGTGGTGGAGCATCAGGAAGGTAAGTTAATGCTGCTTTATATATTCATGCAGCTATCAAAAATGAAACAATCAGAGTCCAGGAGGGCTCTGGTAAACAGACGGCAGAGTGCAGCAGGGCAGAATTTCAGAGAAGCCAGGCAGGCATCTGCTGGGAGGTGGGGAAGACTGGATGTCCAAGAAACCTCCATCAGCCCTTCTAGGGAGGAATACTGATTAGAAATAAATCTAGAGATGCTGCTAGACATTAGGGAATTCATTTACATTAGTTTTTTCCTGCCCTTCTTATGCCATGGCACTTTCACTGTGGCTAAGTTTAGTTCCTAGGGAAAAAAAAAAGAAGAAAAATGTACCACAAGTTTTTTTTCATTGATAAAGATGCATTCTTCTAGTGCTTTTACAAGCGACTCATGTTATACATGCACAGTACAACCAAAACACTTCCACTGAAGAACTGCTTAATATTGACATTATAAAAGTACTGTAAACAGAGCATTTGGATTGACATCTGAGGGAGCTGAGGGTACACCTTTCTTCAAAGAATTAGCTTCAGGCCCTGAAAATGCACTTTGCCTTCTACAGTTTGACCAGTATCAAAGCTGTTTCTGTTTTCATTCTGCAGTTACCCTTGGTTGCTGCCTGATATTCTGGTAGTTGAACTGGTTCAGATCATTTGGCCCCTTTCTAAGTTCTGTTGCATTGATGTTAAAATGATCCAGTATCAGCTTACCATAGCTTCTACCTCGTGTACGCTCCAAAACCTGGCTTTGTGGCATAACGGTTTTAGAGAGTATAACCTTTTTGTCTGTAAATGTCGTCTGCAACCTTCTTTCTGTAAATTTGGCTTGCTGAAGGTAACAGTTATCTCATCTCTATTCAGTATCTTGAAATTGCCTTAAAGGCCATTAATTTCAAGAGTGAAGGCAGTATGCAGAGGCCCAGTGAGTCTGTCTTTTAAGGTAAAAGAGGATGAGGAAGATGTAGTGTAAAAGGGGGAAAAACATACTCTTGCTTTAAAAAGCAAGATAAACATTTCTGACACTGCACGTCAAGGGGTGCCCGAGCAGTAGGGACCAAAATAAGTGTTAATTTGCATTTAAAAGAATATTTCCCCCTGTGAAATATTCTGGACAGTTCCTGGTGTACAGTAGACACCACCTAGAATGGTACTGTCTGAAGAAGAGTGCAAAGAGTATGGGTCATTCCGTGATGTCCCATTTAACTTATTCTCATGGGTCTTTAACTTAACTGGGAAACAGCGGAAAAATTCAGAGGGTAATATTATTTTGTAAAGGCACAGTCAATTTTTTCCTTCTATTTCCTGACTGAAAGGGGCATTCAACATCTAATTCTAGATTTTCATTCACTTTTATTATAGTCTGGAAAAATTATATAGCCAAGTATTTGTTAATTTTTCAAATAAAATAGGAAGTCTTAGAAACTTTTAGCAAAACTTTTATAGAATTGTTTCCTCGGTATGCTTATTATTTTAATTGATAGTCATTGGTGTTTACCTTTTTTGTTTGTATCATGATATTTTCAATTTCTGAGTAAATTATACAGAAAGGAGCCAGAATTAAAATGTAATGTAATTATATTTATTTTTATTACTAGTATCAATACTGTAAATGTATCACTTTATTTCTTTGAGCCATTAAAGAGGTTTTTTCTTATTGTACATGGGTTACTAATATAAAAAGATGAAGATACATGTTATATAGAGAGATTTAGGTTGCTGAAATAAATGCTACAGGATTTTCTTTGCATAAAGTTTGACCTTCTCTTTTTTTCCGTAACACTCCAGGTAGGCTGCAAGGCTAGTTTGGTGTTTTTCCAATATTGTGTTATGGCAAACTTTTATTGGCTCTTAGTTGAAGGACTTTACCTCTACGTCCTCCTTGTGGTAATATTCTCCCCTAACAGACACTTCCTGATCTACCTTCTGATGGGATGGGGTAAGAATATATTTATATTTTATTCTCTTTTTAAAGCTCTCAAATGGCAGTGTGATCTCTAGGGATCCTGGCTTTCTCTGTTTAAAAATCACAAAATCTCTAATAAAAATCACAGATTCTCTGATTAAAAGCCCACAAATCCATGTTTTTCCATGATTAAAATGAAATGCTACTATATATAAGTATCAGTTGAACACAATGTTTTATTGCTATATTTACAATTTTAAAGCAATTTGGAAGCCTACCAGTGCTATAATAAAATAAATTCTAAATACCTATAAAAGTTGGTGTTGATTTTGGGTATTTTATTCTGGAAAATCAGAGCTCCTCCACCCCTTTGCTCACCAGGATGCAGGTCCAGCTGTGGCTGTGTCCCTCCCCACCAGCTTTGTGGTGTTGAGCAGCCCTGATGTGCCATTGCCCCTCACTCCCAAGCCACAGCCCCCGCCCACACCTGCTGGTGCCCCCCACTCCCCACCCACAGCCCTCTGGCCCTGCCCCTCTCTCCCCATCCACAGCTGCCATCCCCCGCCCCCAGCCCTTAACAACATAACAGCTTGTGCCAGCCTGTCTCTTATATTTTATAACATATTGGAAAGCTCATTAAATATTTTCAGATTACTTTTATGTTGAGTGTGAAACTAGAAGTTTGAACTTAACGCAATGTATTGAACTTAGTACATTAAAACCATCACAGAATGGTAGGTATAGCTGGGAAATAGGAGTGAATGGGCTGCTTATAACATGATTAATACTATAGTTTGCACTTCTAATATCTGCAGTTAGGCCAAGGGTGCATAAAATTAATATTCCCAAGAGTCTGGCATTTTGCAAAGTCTATGGGAAGCATTCCTTTCATATATAAATTTTATAATAAATAAAGCTACTCACCTGCCGTATTTGCTTGTGGTTCTGTCAGCATTGGTAGATAGATAGAAATTGTTCACAGCCTGCAGTTGATCAACAGGTCCTCACCCTTCAGTTACTGCCATTTTTTATCTTCCATTTTGACTTGAGCCATCATTTATTTTATATTTTGGAAGCAAATGGCTACAGTAGGGTTGAGAATTTTCAGTAAATAGATTTTACAATCATATTCTAAACTTATGTTTTCTTAGGAATACCTACAATATTCATCATCTCATGGATAGTAACAAGGATCTATTTAGATGACTCTGGGTAAGTGGCTAGGAGAGCAAATATTTTTGTTGTACATTTTATCTATAGCCAGTCTTCCCTTGGGAAGGCATTGTTTGCACAAGCATAATGAGCTATTTTGAAGAGATCAGCAGGTCCTTAGATATGACAGTTAAGTGACAGTATGCACTTTTCAGTATGCACTTTTCATAGGTACACTCAATTTGAAAGCTTTGACAGGAGATGAAGGTAAACAGTTTATGACCAAATAGCAGCCCCTGAAGCTCATACATACTGTAGTTCTCACTGAATTCAGTGGGAGTTACCTTAATTTAAAGCTACTCTTTGACTTTTGGAGGGTCCTCTAGGAGCCTGATAGTGTAAGGCACTGAACAGCATCAACTACTATGAACATCTCTGTGGGTTAATTGTGCAGAGCAGATGAAAGGATAGCCCCTCCAAGTCTTAGGAGAGAGCTGCACTGATGTGACCAGATGATTATGCTGAGATGTTTAAGTAATCAAGCTAGGTGTTAATTAATTACCTCAGCACCTGCTAATTTACCCAAACCCTTAAGCAGGTTTTGCAGCCAGTACATGACCTAGCCCAGGGGTTTTCAACCTTCTGGGCACACTTCTGGTGGGGTGGGGAGGGGTGGCAGCAGCCGGACATGGAGGGGAGAAGGCAGGGGCTTGCACATGGCAGCAGCACAGGGTGGTGGATGGTGGCAGAGGACGCTGTGTGCAAACTCCACCCCCCACCCAATGTCTGGCTGGCTGGGTGGCATGTGTGCCACCTGCAGAGGGAAGCTGCTGCCCTAGCCTGCCCTCGGCCCTGCTCCTGGGAGGCGGTGGCGTGGGGTGGTGGGTGGCGGTGCTCCATCCCCACCCGCCCATGTGTACTTGTACCCCCGGTTGACAACCCCTGACCTAGCCCATTTAACAGTAAGCTTGGCTTTGTCTATACAGTAGTGCACTTAGTATAAGCTTATGAATATAATATATACACTGAGAAATTCCTGTCATTGGCACCTGAAATAGCTAGGACCCATGCTGGAACTGAGTAATTTCCAATAGCTCATCCACCAAAAACATGCAGCGTTGGCAGTCCCAAACCTGTTTATGAATTCCACCCAAACGTGCTAAAGAAATCTTCACAAAACTTTGGAAGTGGAAGAGGAGGCTCTAATTTCATCCAGACATCCAGTGGTTAGGACACACTAGGTGCAGATCGAGGCCCCTATAGTGAAAGAGAGAGTGGGGCTGATGCTGGGACAGTGGTGGCATGGGGCGAGGCATGGGATGGAGCTGTGGCTTGTCTGGGGGGGCATGGGGAGGGAGAGGGCAGCTCCTGCCATTGTACACACCCTGGGAAGGCATGGGAGGGCTTGTGACGCCCAGATCTGCATGCAAGGAAAGGTGGGCTGCCACTGCAGGCTGGGGCCATGGATAGCTCCAGGCCCTTCCGGGGGGGTGGGCTGGGTTGGGCTGCTCTCAGGGCAGGCAGCAGTGGTGCTGGGAGTGGGGCTACGCTGAATATAGGAATGGCTCCCACATCCCCTGCCAGTGCCGCCGCCGCCCACCTGCCTTGAGCGCAGCCTGGCCAAGCCCTTGCCTTCTGGGAAGAGCCCAGCACTGCCTCTGGCCTCTGGCCCCAGCCGACTACAGCAGCCCACCCCTCCCTGCGTGCGGATCCGGGGGGCACGTCACCCCATGTCCTCCCGGGGTACACGCAGTGGCAGGAGCTGCCCCCCTTCCACACACACCCCGGATGAGCCATGGTTCTGTCCCATGCTTCACCCCACCCTGCTGGGCAGTCCCTGCCCCAGCACCAGCCACACTCCCCTCACCACGGGGGCCTCGACCTGCCTCCCCCATGTCCCTTTCCTTCCTTCACCCCTTCTCCCACAACAGACTTACCAACTGGACCCAGCTGCTTTTCATGCTGCCAGGCTGCACTCCTGCCTGCCTGCCTGCACTGCAGCTGCGTGAATGCACATGGCATTTATTGGCCACATTATCGGCCACATCACTCAAAAAAAGCCGATTGGTGATGCTTTCAATTTTCCTCATATCTGGGACAGATGTATCGGTGCACCTCTAATATATAGATATAGATAGATATAATTTCTATTTACATCTCTCTTTTTTCCAATTTCTGGTGTGATATCTGAACTAAAAAAATTAATGGAGTCTGAGTAATTTATAATTTCTCTGGACACTGCAACTCCAAGGAAGTAAACCGAGGGTTGATATGATTAGAACAATGAAATACATTTCTCCTGTTTAAGATGTATCATTCTCCCCAGAGTTTTAAGGCCAGATTCTTCCAATAAGCTGAAAACTAAATATTCAACAGTTTTTCAGACAAAATCTCAGTCTCATTCTCACAGTTTCCCAGACCATATCCACTCTTTCTGTAGCCTAAATATTTAAAATGTAAATTAAATAATTTTGATCGAGTCTTTTGGTTACTTTAGATCACTCTGTCGCCTATAGGCTGTTGTTAACTGCACATTGGATCAGCTTTATAGCATAAATGAAACCTAAATATAGAATTCCTAAGGGATATCTATTTCCTTTTCTTCTAACACTGCCTTTTTACTTCTCTGTTGTTTTAATTATTTTGAATATACAATTAAAACCCAGTAAAACAAAAAATAAATTCTGAGGAAGAGCAGACAATATTTTATTTTGTTTTGACTTGTGTATCCAAGATATTTATCTTCATATGCCTCACTCGCCAGCTGAAATTAGTGTTAACATCTTTTTCCCTTTTCTTTTTTTTTGTAGTTGCTGGGATACAACTGAACACAACGTTCCTTGGTGGGTTATACAATCACCAATTTTAATTTCTATTATAGTAAGTAAACAATATATTGAAACATGGATTATACATTCGTTTTTGCAGTGCATATGCTCATTACTCTTTAGTGCTAACTGTAAATGAACAAACACTCCATTCTAATGGAAAAAACATTTTGTGGTGAAAAATTTTAAAGGATGGCAAGGTCATTTCAGCTCATTGCCTTTAAAATTTAGCTGCTCCCTGTTAAATGATTGATTGTTTTGTTTGCATGTCATTTTCTTGTTTAAGGTCTGCAAATTAGCGCATTTTATATAGACTAGCCATGGTCTTCAGCATGTCATTTGACAATGTTTGGGTGTTTCTAGAGTATACAGTGTTCAGTAGTGATCCTTTTAAGCAAAGCACTTAAGCTTCTGTTGAATTACAGCCTAAGTGTTATGCTGAATCATTCTGTAAATATGATCTATATGTAGATCATACAGTGAGGGCTTATTCCTCCTTCATCAGATTGAGTTCTGTATTTTTTAAACAGAAAACCATGTAGAAGGTGACTCATGTGAATTACATAAAATGAGAATTTCCCATTATGGATGTTTTGCTATATAATGGGAACAACTACATGTGATATTAATGCACGTGTGTTACAGCACACTAAATAACTCTGCCGTAAGATGGTACTTATATTAAGCAGTACTGTCCTACAGCGGAGTGAATTAGTTTACTGCAGCCTAATAGCACCACATGTGTAGACAGTGATACTTTACTGTGGAGCTAATTAGTCAACTTTGCAGTGAAGTGCACATGTAGATGCACCTAATGAGATGAACACTCAGCAGATACAAAGCACATAGGCAATAGGCCAGAAGGAGTTGGAGAAGGAAGAGTAATTCTGAGTAAGGAAAATATACTGAATGAGAAAAGCAAAAACATCCACACACACTATTTGAAAAGAGCATAAGTTAGAATTCCTTGTGAGCATCTATGATTTAAACAACTATTGTGCATGCAGCTTAGTTTTTCTGTTTTAACAGTATGCTAGAAAGCCAGGACTCAAGCCAGATTTGGCAGACTTCTAAGATGTGAAAGCTGGAGTTATTTCAGTGCTGATTAGAGACCTGTGGAGGGCCCAGGTAGAGTACAGCAAGGACAGGAAGCCTGTTGGAAATCAGGAAGATGGAGAAGAATCTTAAAAATCAACCAGGTTTGGTTCTAGAGTTAGGCTAGGGATCTTCACCAACCTGATGGTTTTTCCAAATCAGTGATTGATTTGCTACACTCCTATCAGTATGGAAATATGAGAAATATCTTTGTAAATGGACTGGGATGCCTCAGTTCTTGCACACATTTGGGATCGGCTCTCTCTTTCCAGACATGTTTTGTCTCCTGATCAACACACTTTAGCCACCCAAGTGTTTCTGCTACTTATGCGCTAAAGAAATCACACTCTTCCTTTAAAAAAATGCTCCCCAAGCTGTTGTTTTGGGTTTTTTTTTAATTCTAAGCCATTGTGTTGTGTATTTGTGGTGGTAATGAGTGAAACTACAGCAAATTGGGGCACTTTTCAGAGAAAATAATTGAACTGCCAAAAAAAATGAAAATGGATATTTAATTATTCACACAAAGAGTAGGATGCTGTTTAAAAATACTCAGTGTACACAGTTTTATGGTCCATGTGCCCCCCCATCCCAAAATGCAAGAGATTAATCAAGGAATAACATGATAGTTACTTGGGTTTATTGTGAGTCTTTATATCTAGCAACTTATCGGGGCAGTGCCTAGGTGTATGAGCCCAGGAAGGGCCCCAGAGGACCTTCCTGATTCTCTTTTCTCTTTTCTCCTCCTTGCTTTGAAGAGAAAGTGAATTGCTACAGTCTTTTAGGGCAGGGCTGTCTACCTTCCCAGCAGCTGGGGGCTGCACACAGTGCCAGGAATGACCTGAGGGTTGCACACCCTGAGGGTGGTCCCCCTTCATAACACTCCCCACTGTACACACAGCCCAGCTCCCCTCTGCTGCATGCAGCTCAGCTCCCCCACCCCACCACATGCAGCCCAGCTCTCCCTTCCAACCACATGCACAGCACCTTCATCCCTGTCCCAGCCATGCATCCCACACAGGCAGCCCATCTTCAACGTGCAGTATGAGCATCCTGCCTCCCTCCTTTTCTGAGCATTCACGCGCACAGCCTGACACCCTCTCACTGTATGCACAGCATCAGCAGCCTCGTCCTTTTCCACTGCATTACCCTACCCCAGGAGTGGGGGCAGGAACCAGAAGCCAAAGGAAGGAGCGAGAGCATGGAGATTCCAGCTGCCACCACAGCAAGAGCACTGGGTGGAAAGGCGGGAGCCCTTGTGCTGCAAACTGACCCTATACACACCATGTGCAGCCCATGAGCTGCCAGTTTGACAGCGCTGTTTTAGGGAATGCAAATTACTCCCCCTCTCTTAGATCGCCTCTGCTGGTAATCACATTTAAAAAGCAGACTTGGGTGTCTGACCAGTTTTCAGTTCCTCACTGCCCACCATTTGGGTGGAGGAGGGGAAAGGGGATGTGGTGGCCCAGTGGAGCTTGTGTCCCTCCCTGTGCCTGAACTTTCAATCAGGGGAAGACCTGTGCAATTGTTAGCCTCCTGTGCAAATGCATTAGGGTGCTGGCAATCATTAAAATAATGCCACAATGGGATCTGACCCTGATTCCCATACCCATGCATCGTGCCATGCCACACACGTACGTATGCAGGATGCGGCATTTTCAGAATTGAGGACTGATCCCAATCACACTGTCACTTTAACGGGAACTTTGCAACCTAGATGCAACCGTTTTGCAACTGTTCTCTACAACTCCTTTGGATGCTGTGGGGCTAGGCAGAAAATGTTCTAGGGCTGCCTTAGAGTGCTGGGTGCACAGGTTGCAAGTTTCCTGGCAGGGGGATCCCTTGCAATCTGTGTGACCAGCACTCCATTGTCAGCTGCCCTAGTCCTGATGCCGAAAATCATCTGTACACATTTCAAAACACTATGCTTTTCTTTCCCCTGCCTGTACAGAGTGCTCCCGTTTGTGAGTCTTTCCAGGTGGACACTAATCTGAATTAATAAGCAATCAGAAAGAAAAAGCAATTGTGCAGAATAACCAAGTTATCTCACCTTGAAGCTTCTGTGAGGGACTCAATGACATGGAAGTGGCAACAAAAAGACATTTTGAGTAATGCATATATGCACAAAATATTTTGATCAAAAGTTACTGTCAGTTTTAAGGCAGCCACAAAGCTAAGATCAGTGACATCTTATCATTGCCTCACTGTTTTGTCATTTACTACTTCTGCTGTACCTCATTCCTGATATTTCTGTGGATACATTTGCTTTTTTTAGGGAGTGTAACAGTGATTCTATAGTCATGATGTTCCAGGAAGTAAGTTTGAGACAAGGATTTTTATGGGTTTTATTGTACCTACTGTATAGTTGGGATAGACAAGCTTTCAAGCGCAGTGCATTCTTCTTCATCTGAGGAGAAAAGGAGGGACAGCAAGATTAGAAGTAGTCTGAAGAGCTGTGAAATTGGGGAAGAGAGAAATTCTCAGGGGTAGCTAGCAGACAAGAAAATATAGCTTGATCAGGGGAAGATCAAGACCTTTCCAAAGGGAAGAGGGTCATTATCACCCATGGTATAAGGAAAGATTAGCAGGGTAGATATGATATAGTGAGCCATGAAGTCAATATCTGTATTTAATCCTTGATTCTTAGTGTCCAATCAGTTTAAGATTTTTTATTCCCAGGCTCACATTTGTAACGTGTTTTGTAAATTTCCCTTGAGCAAAAACATAGTGAGGTCAGAAAGTGAGGGATAGTTCTGTGAAAACTGTTCTCCTACACATATCTGTGTAGTCTCTATCTTTAATCTTCTTCCCGTGAGCATTCATTTTGGTGCATAGTTTTAGCCTAGTTTCACTCCCATGGTTTCCATGAAGACATTTGGTCCACTGGATAAGATATACCACATTTTGGGATAGACATGTGGAGGATCCATGGATTCTGATGGGTTCATTGTGTGTGGGGAGCTGTTGATTGTTGTAGCTGTAAGACATGGTCTTTGTGTAACTTTGGATTACATTAAGTCATCTCAAAGCCCCAAATTATCCAAGGACTTACTTTTTTAATGAAAGTGGCTGATAATAGGTTTTTGCCAGTCTTTATTTCAGAAAGTAGCATTCATGGTCATGCAGAGGTGAGTTAGATTTAACAAACCATCAGTAAGGCAGAAAAGATAAAGTAGATCTGACAGAGCTGAAGTCAATACCTTCTAGCAGCAAGCACATAAAGGCTCAATATTGAAATGACTACTATAGTTTGATTAACATTTAACAGTGTATTACATATGGAAATAAGGGGTTGGAATTATATATATGTGTGTGTGTGTGTATATATATATTTCTTTCTTCTTGCAGGCAAATTTTATACTTTTCATTAGTATTATAAGAATTTTACTTCAGAAGTTGAGATCTCCTGATGTTGGAGGCAATGGTCAGTCACAATACAAGTGAGTAACATATTTTAGGGATCCCATAGTACATCAAAGTTACTCTCCTGTGGCACACTACTGACAACCATCACTTGCTATGAAAAATGTATTTGATACAATCATACCTATTTCTAAGCATGGGGAATATGCTACTGATTCAGCAAAGTATGTAAACACATGGTTAGAGTCATACAGAAACCCAAATAGAGGTGGTCAAAACTTTTTAAGCAAATAGTTAATTCTGTGAAATATGCATTTTAATGTATTCTTTTATTTGGTCAAATTTGGTGTATATTTTCATCCAAAAAAACTTGAAAATGACTAAAATTTTCTCTTCAACAGTTTTTTTTAAGGTGTTTTTTAAAAAGAGGGTTTGTTTTGACTATTTCAGAATTCAACATTTCAATTTTTCAAAATATTTTCCTTTTAAAATTCACGCACATGTTAAAAGGACCAAAATGAAGTAAAACAAAAAAAAATTAAATGTGGCATTTTTCCCCCTACCAAATAAAATAAAGTTTCCGTCTTAGATCAACCTGAACTAAATTTGTTATTGTGGTTGTTATTTTTTTTTAGGGTTAGCCACCAAGCTGAAAAACAAATTATTCACACAGCTTTGAGAGCATGTATTAAAAATGTTATGCTGAATAGAGGTCATAAGCAGAATCACTGGTTGTTAATTTTATCAATTATAACTTGTTATGTTTGTTAAAGAGAATCAAGGCCCCATTGTGCTAGGCTCTAACCACATATACTGAGGATCCCAAAAAGTCCAGAGCTTATGTTAAAACTGAAATTGGCACCTTGCAGTGGAAAAATGACAATTCAGTGCCTGAATCTTATTTGAATACTGTATAACTGAAGTCACCTATTCACACATTGTAGGCTTTTGAATAAGGGCTCCTGACTAAATGCTTCTGCTTCTCTTTTTGAAAACAAGTTGTGGAAATCCTTTTTTGAAAAGCAATATTTGCTATTTGATCCGAGAGGGAAATAAAACCCTATACATTTTTATGGTATGTTTCACGTGTGGTATGTTTGATGCAGTAATGTTATATCATATGCTTTTAAAGCTTCAGGAGAGAAGAGCAAACAAATATCTGCACTGCATGTTCCATGAAAGTCATATATTTCCTCCATAGTCCCACTGTATATCTTAATATAGCAGGTTGCAGGAGCAGCTCACCTATAGCTCTATATATGGAGGTGACTTGCTTCACAGTTTCATAATTGAGAAATTAGGGACCACAGTGTCCGGAGACAAACCCATCAGCAATTACAGGGGGATGGCCCAGTTACGAATATATGAACTCTATTTATGGAGGTGGAATGAATGTTGTCAAAGCGGATCAGGCTGGATGGCCAGCTTAGTCCATGAACCATGACATTTTGGGGTCTCCAGGTTATTACTCAGAACAGTAGTCGGTTTATAGACAGATCTGCCGTGGTCACCTCCTTTGCCATAATTATTTTTCATTTTCTTAGTGTATATTTTTATCCTTCTACTCACTTAAGTAAAAGCTTGTGTACCCTCCAAGCAGTCTGAGCCTCCTCTGTAGGACGACAGAGTCCTTTAGAGTGTAGGGTGTTAATTAGCAGCTGAATCGATTTGCATGGTTGATCTCAGTCTTCACTCTTAGTCTGATGTCTGGTTAAGTTTGAATTGGCTGGTGTTTTGGTATTCAGCAACCCCCTTGGAAATAGTACATTGGCTGCACATGGAAACATTGCTCCTATGGAGCAATTAAAAAATTTCAACGCCTCCTTTTTTGTAAATGCCAATGATCTTAAAAAAAAAAAATACTGGAGCATAAAGATATTTTAACCTGATCGTTTCTTTCCTCAAAAGGTAGGTGGCATGTACAGGTAGTGCAGCAGTCAGTCAGTATATATGGAAGCAGAACTGTTAATGTGAATGATTAGAGACAATGGAAGTGCAATATGAGACAAAGTGCCAGATTCTATTCCATCCATTGGATGTCTAAGTGGACTTAGATGCATAAATGTGATTTTGTTCCATTCTGTTCAAGTCCTGCAAATCCATTAATTCATTTACTTTTGTAACACTATCATATATAAGCAGTGGAAACTTGGCAAACAACTAGGGAAGGAGTAGATGAGTATTGCTCAGGCATGCAGGGGTTAGAGATGTAAAATTTCCAGAAAATTTGAAGCCATGGGGAAAAAAAGTTTTTTTTTCAGAGCGGGGGGGAGGAGGGAGGGGTGTTGGGAAAAAAAACGGAAATTTGGGGGGAAATTGAAACATACGCAATACTTATTTTCTTAGCGCCCTTTACAAATCTAAATTCACTTTGCTACTTTAAGAGTATAATATGTATTATGTATAACTTGGTTTGCTCATAAAATTATCATGTTTGGTATGTTTATTACATTTAAAAGTATAGTTTATTCAGATAATAATTACAAATTTGCTAATTCAGTTTACTTTAAAATGTTTTTAATTTTTGTTACAAATGGAGCTACAAGCTGCTGAACTCTAAGGAACCTACCATCTCTTAGTTTTTGCCAATTTATGAGAAGCAAGCAAAAATTAAAGTTGAAAATAGAAGAAACCATCAACATTATAGTAAAACAAAGAAAGTTATTATGTGTTCTGGACTTAGTCTCCTCTACAGTGTCAAGCAGATACAGAAAGCACTCATTTTTAGAAAAAGAGCTTGGAAAAAAGGGGGGGAAAACCCAAGACTCATTGAATACAAATTTTGCTATATGAAACTTTGTCTAATCAGTCTAATTTTCTGAGCTATCACTATCAGCAATTTCTGCTTCTTCTGATCCTTCATTTTTATCATCCTCATGGGCTTCTAAAAACTGAAGGTTTGCCTGGATTGAGACAAGCTTCTCTACTCTTTCACATGTTTGTTTATTTCCTGATTTGGTGTGAGTATTTCCAAGCATAGACCAGTTTCTTTTGCATGCTGCAGAAGATGGAGGAATCTGAAGCAGGCGAGAAGCAAGAGGAGTCAGAGACTATGGTGTTCAAAGGCCTTGTCACCATGTTGCAGGAGGGATATGCTTGGCAGAGTCCCAGACTGCATTCCTGGACCAAATACCTGAAGATGTTCTGTATTCTGCAGCATTTGAAAGTTTCTTTCCAACATCAAGTCCTAAGTGTGTTGCTTGTTTTGTAATCCAGTCAAATGAAATAGCAGTGCTATCATCACTAACATTTCTGCCTTTGAATCTTGGATCCAAGACATTTGCAGCAACATGAATTGATTGACAACAAAATTCTTCCCATCTGTTAATAAAGTCTTTCACTTTTCTTTCTTCTGTACTTGTAAGTAGGGATACACTTAGATTCCCAAAAATAGTTGATTTTATCTGGGCCATTTGGTAAGGAATGTCTGCCAAAAGCGCACTGTCTCATTCAGATGGAGTGATTGCTGAAGAAATTGACTTTAGAATCTTCAGGGAGTTCTGCAGCTGACCCAGAAGACATCCTCATCAAGTGCAGTGGTCCTTACACTTCTGGGTACTTTAAGATCCTCAGTTATTACTATTTATTGAACAGCTTCTTTGTTTTTTAGTAAACTTTCAAATGAGATCGCCACTCCACCCCAAGTAGTTTTACTACAGAGTTTGAGTGTCACTATTTTATTCTTTGCATTCTTTTCTTCCTGCTTCTTCTTAAAGACTGCAGCTACAATATGAGTAGCTTTTACATGTTTTATAACTTCTTTTGCTCTTCTATAGATCTTTTGCAGAGTGCACCATTTTGCTGAGGGAGAAAAAAGAAAATTATAATTTAGTGGCTAGCTTGCATTGTATAAACACTAAGCTACAGCATGTACAAATTTAGTAATGAGTGGAGGAGAGTTAACTGTGAACAACTTCCCTGCCCTGCAGGCCTCACCTCACTGCTAAGCTTGGGTGATTTGTCACAAAACATCAGATTAGTAGTAATTCAATTATAATTACATAGGTTAGGAAAATTACACCAATTCAGCTAAAATATAGTTTAATATACTGAATTCAGATACATTTAAACTCTTACCTTTCAATAAAGAAGTATACTTCCTGTCAGCTCTTTTGTGCTGCTTCTGTACTTCTGTGGATCTCAAGGTCACAGGGCCAGGAGGGGGCAGGTTCCTTTCAACTCCAAAACCTTTAGACTTGCTCAGTCTCCTCTCCTGAGGCTTTTGAGCAAGTAGGGCAATAAGCTCCTTGTTTCTAATTGCTACAGGAATGAATGGATGCTGCTGCCAGTGTCCACTCCCAGTCCTTTGAGGCCTAGTCAGGAGGACAGGAACAGATCCACCAACCTCTAGATCAAAAGTCAACAATAGAGGAAGTCCACAAGCAAAGAAGGCACTGAATCCTTCTTCCTTCTCTTGTGAAAATGGCAGTGCCCTCTCAGGGTAGAAATGCATCTTGCTCTTACATTTGAGAGCTGTACTGTACTGCTTGTCCTCGGTGTACAGGAATTGTAATGATCTGATACTATAGATAGTCTTACATAAAGGTTTTCCTATTATGTAGTTATTACAAAACATTTTGGGGGAGTAAAGGGTAGCAATATATGAACACCTCGTATTAAATATTTTATTCATCGTTCTAAAAGAAAATATTTGATGAGATTTTTTAAATTTCTCAAAAAATTTTCAATTTTTTCAGTTTTTCAGGGGAAAAAAATCCTCAGAAAAAAATGAAAAAAAACATTATTTTCTGAATTTTTCTGGGTTTTTTCCAGGCCTTTGCATTTCTAGCAGGGATGAAATCAGGGACCGCATCCACATGAGCAGGGGTGTGCATTTGCAGCAGTACAAAATGTGATGCTGCTTTGTGCCACAGTGAATGCCCCTGCCCATGCGCTTTGCAGAGGGACACTTTTGTCCTGCTGCTCCATGTGTTGCAGGGGGGCTGGCTGGAGGCACAGGGTGCCTCAGCACGGGGGGGTTAGCCAGCAGGCAGCCTCTGTAGTGAAGTACCCTGTGCCCAGCCAGCCAGGGAGCGGCATGTGGAGATGGGGGAGCAAACAGCTCAGGACTGCCTGCTCCCACTCTCGGCGCACTGCAGAGCCCCTGCACTGAGACACATGGAGACAGGGAAGCAGTCAGCACAGGGCTGCCTGTTTCCCCATCTCAAGGCACGCTGCACCCCAGCCAGCTGCCTCAGTGCTGGGCTTCCTGCTCCCCTGTCTCCAGGTTTATCCTGGCACACACCACTTTGGTGTGCTTTGTGCTGCTTATTTCTTTGAGGGAGGGGAGCAGCGGGGGGGGTGTTATCGGGAAATCCTGGTAGCAAATTTTGCCCTGACACTGCAAATTAGCAGCACCATGCATGGTTTAAAATTCATGGGGTGTGGGTTTGTAGCACTGCAAAGTTTTGTGGCTTCACAAACCACTTGTGCCTGCATGTCTGGATCCAGCCAGGAAGCCCAAAGTACAGTTGGAGTTGCAGCTCACAAGGGAAATGAAGGATAACAAGAAGGGTTTCTACAAGAACTTCAGCATCAAAAGGAAGATCAGGGAAAGTGTGAGTCCTTTACTAAATGTGGGAGGCAACCTAGTGACAGATGATGCAGAAAAGGCTGAAGTGCTCAATGTCTTTTTAACTTCAGTCTTCACAGGCAAGGGCTGCTCCCAGACTACTGCAGCTGGCAGCACAGTTTGGGGAGGAGGTGAGCAGCCAACAGTGGCAAAAGAACAGGTTAGGGACTATTTATAAAAGCTGGACGTGTACAAGTCCACAGGGCTGGACAGGATACACCCAAGCGGCACGTCCATACACGCAGACACATGCGCTTGTAGCAGCTCAAATAGAAGTGGTACGAAGTTGAGCTGGGCTTTTTTGCCTCGGTGCAAGTGCCCAGACATGCACTTTGGTGTGGGGCAAATTGTGCCACTTGGGGCAAAATAACCCTGCCTGGCTCCTCCCAGATCTGCAGCCAGGGGGAGCTAGAGCCTGGGGTCAGCACCTGTCCTGGCCCCAGCAGTATAAAAAGCCGCCCTGGCAAGTAGCTCAGGGCTACTTGCTCCCAGGAGCTTCTGGGGCCCAGCCAATTGGTACCTGGGGACAGTACCCCTTGTGCCAGCTGAACTGCTGAAGCAACCCTGAGAGTTCGCTGCACCCTCTACCCACTGCAGCAGTCTGGCGGTGGGGGCTGCTGCCTGGCTGTGACCTGCTGCCACCGGTGACAGCATGTGGCCCCAAGGCTGCACGCCTGCCAGACCCAGATGGGGACAGCATGCTGAGACACTTTGTAGCACTACAGAAATGTAGCTCTGTGAAGTCATGGCAGCATTCCACTGGCTGCAGGGCTGCAAAGTCATCCTAAAGGTGCTCTCTTTACCAATGGGGCAGTGGGGTGCTGCTCCTCGGGCCCTCTCTCCCCAGAGAAGCCTGATCACAGACAGCCTGCCCTCTCCCCTGGCACATGCAGCTGCCAGAAATAAACCTCTACCCCCTCACATGCTGCCTGTGGGCGTAGAAGGGGCAAAGAGAACTTCTCCCCTTGCTCCTACCTAACCCCTGGTAGTACTGAGCAACCATAGTGTATGCTCACTTTTTGTAGTGCTACTAGGACATATCTAGTGCTACACATTTATTGCCTGTCCATGGACTCAGTCCACTTACATGTGGCACAGTTCCCTAACAGTTAATGGTGAGATTGTGAGCTGTGGTTCTGAGAGTACTGTACAGTAATGTAAATGTAAAAGGAAATACACAGTAATTGTCAGTGCATTTGAATGATTCATTAAAAAGACTGGTTCACAGAGAACACTATCTCAGGGCTTACCTAATCTATCTAAACAAAAACGAATTAAATGCTTAAATTAATTAAACAAGACTTTACAGGGTTGCTCCATTAATCCTCAGTTTTTCTGCTCTGCTTCCTTAGGAGACTTGCAAAATCAACATTGCTGCTGGTTCCATTATTTGGCGTACACTACATGGTTTTTGCTGTGTTTCCCATCCGCATTTCCAATCACTATCAAATAATTTTTGAGTTATGTTTGGGTTCTTTTCAGGTAAAGTGTAAACCTTTTTCTTAAGTCTTATTGGTTAGTATTTGCCCAAGGCATGATAGGGTTGGCACCTTATAGACCAGAATCTCAACCAGGGTGCCAGGGCACTGTGGAGTGCCAACATATCCTTTGAAGGGTACCCCAAGATACAAGGAAATGAGTGAGGTGTGATGAGATAAGCAGCGAAGTGCAGACTCAGGCTTGTCCCTGCCTGGACAGTCCCCCACCTCTGTTATCCAGCCCCTCTTCAAGGAGGTAAGCACTACAGTATATGAAGTAGTTTTGAAAGTGGATACTACTCAATTCATAAAAGTTATGGAGGGGTGCCTCAAGTCCAGTGAGGGGTGCCTCAAGTCCAGAAAGGTTGAGAACCATTGTTATAGGGGAGGCAGTCAGAGAGAAATTCTTTTTTGTAGGTGACAGTCTACTTTGTTAGATGCTGCTGTACACTAACCAATGAACGTATTTACTTACAGGGACTGGTTGTTGCAGTACTGTACTGCTTTCTGAACAGTGAAGTAAGTCTCACTTTTCTCAGTGATATTAACTAGTATTTTCAATATGGTAGCTATAAATGTAAGAATTCTGGTACATGAATTGTACAGTAGTATTAAAAGCACCAAGAGCATGTTTTCTAAAGAATACCTATATAGTAATTTGTATATGAAATTAAATGACACGAGCTGCAACAAACATTGGACTGGGTTGGGGGTTGGTTGAAACAGTTTTTGGGACCTGTTTTCCCCCAAAATAAGGCAGTGTTAGCAAATTTGATACATTATCAGGGATCCTGGTGTTCTCTGATTTAAAAAAAAATCTCCAGTTTTTGGTTTAAAAAAAGTAACCCCAAGTCCATATTTCTCCGTGATTAAAATGAAATGCTGCTAATATATAGCTATATATCTAGTGGTGCTTCATTTTTTTAAATCAGACAAAACCAGGATCCCTGAACATTATTTAACATGACAACATTCTGGGCTCATTTTGAAACCAGTGGGAGTGTCATAACAAACTTCACTGGGGCTAGTATTTTATCTTAAAATGTTGCTTTTGCAAATACTTTTAAAGACAGTCTTGTAAAAGAGTTCAGCCCCCGCAAATGGGTCAGACTTTCAAATTGCTTAGCACTCAGCAGCTTCAATTGTTGTTAAATGCTGGTGCATCTCTTTTGGTGCAGAGTGCCACTTCATTTAGGTACCTGGACAGGTACTGAGCTCTTACAAAACCAATGATCTATTTAGGTCCTGACATAGAACGCCAAGCTCTTTAGAAAACCTGGCCCTTACTGAACAGCTTGGCACATTTATCCTCCTCTTCAGAATTTTTAACCAATTTTGTATGATGACCAATATATTCATGGACACATTTCCTAAGCAAAAAGGTACCTTTGTTGCATAATCACATTTTAGAGTAGAAGACATTTTAGGCAGCAGGCAGTGCAAGACAGGCGTGCATGCCTTTGCTGGAGCAGAGGATTAGGATCTGGATCTCATTAGTACTCTTTGACACTGATGCACTGTGCTAGTCACTGAAATTACCTGTGCTTCAGTTTTACACCTGTAAAGGCAAATAATAATTAGCTGCCTACTAGCTGATGAACCCCTTTTGATTATTTTCTTCTCTACTTGAAAATTTGATACACTTTAAATTCTGGAAATAGGAAAAAGTCAGTTGTTCTTGGTAATTGAATATTCTGAGTTAGGTTAGGTTACAGAATGTTTCTAAAGGTCTATATGATGATTTCTATGAGAGAGAAAATTATACTAGAAAGAAAAATCAACTGAGTAGGTGGTTTAACCTCTTTTTTGGGACCTGTCTTACCCCAAAACAAGGGGTATGTTATAAGGTAACGTAACATAGAAAATATAAAACATCATTAATTATAATATTTAGCACACATGGAGTGCCTTCCATTTGAGGATTTCAGTTCTGTGCAGACATTAACTGAGCTTAGTGCAACATGGAGCAGTGGTGCTCACAGTTTTGGCCGAGCTGGGATTGGTCTCCAGGCTGCCCCTGCTCAGCCAGGAATGGGCTCCGGGGGTCCATGTTGCCCCCACCCAGCTGGAATCAGACTCTGGAGCTCAGTGCCTCCCGTGCTCAGCTAGGATTGGGCTCTAGGAGCTCCATGCTGCCCCCACCCAGCCAGGTTGGGCTCTGGGGGCTTCACGCTGCCCCGGCCAGTCTCCACATGCCAGGATCAGGCCCCTTGCTGCCCTGTGCACCTGATCTAGTGTGCAGGATCCATGGGGGCCAGCTTACACAGTGCCAGGGGCTCAACCTGTCCTGTAAGCTTGTGGGTTGAGCACCCTTGACCTAGAGAGATAGTTATGCTAAATATTCCAGCTAGGGTAAATATTCCAACTAGGCCAAAGCTGGAGAAATGTAGTCAGGCGTTGTGACTTAAGCAAATATTGCTCTGGAACCCAGGAATTCTGCTTCCCTGCCTTGTGTTTTAAACTCAAAATTATGCTGCCAATCTGCATTTAAAGAGTTTATTTTTAAAATTTAGTTTTTTTCCTGCTTTGCACAACACTTGCTGTTAACAGAACATTTTCAAGTCCTTGGATGGAAGATGCAGATGAGTATAAAGTAGGATGAAAAACTCTTCTTTGGCTCTTTGATTAAATTTTGTTTGTAAATATAGCAGGAACTGTTCTAGTCACATGCTACCATTGAGTGTACAAATCTTTATCATGTAAAGAGAGTACTTTTGGCTAGCGTTCATTTTCTTTAAAACATAGGTACAAAGTGAGCTGAAAAGGAAATGGCGGAGCTTGTGCTTGAACACGACTGTGGGCCGAGATTACAGACTCCATAGTTCTTCAATTTCTCGAAATGGGTCAGAAAGTATCTCTCAGCTCCATCGGAATTCAAGGGCTCAATCTTTTATGCAGACAGAAACCGCCATGATATAAACCATATAAGTTGTCCCGCGTCCTCTCTCCCTCCAAAAAAACCCTCAAACTAAAGACTATCGGATGCATTGTATGCAGCTTATTGTGATATTTTCTAAAATGTACAGTTTGTGCTTTGCTTTTCTATGTATTGATGTGTGGGGAATGGCCTTGTGCAGTGGATCAGGTAACAGGTGGGCCGCCTCATTTGTGGACACTTTGTGCTTTTCTTCAGTCCTGTTCATGTTAGATTCCTATGTTCTGTTGTCATTTTTACTAAAAGTAACTATTCTGAATATAACTTATTTGCTCCCTTTCTTTTTATATACAAAATGGAAGGTACACTGAACCCTGATTAATAATGTATGCTGCTTTTGTCCGTGTTTGAGTGAGTGAGGTGGGAGATGAGGGAGTGTCTTACACTTCATCTGTAGTTAAAGAAATACTACTTTCCTACAGATTCCAGACCCTAATGACAGAAAACAAAAGGAAAATAGAGATACTTAAGGCTACATAATGTCTTTGATCCCATATAGGAATCTATTTAACTGAAGTAATAATCCAACAGGTTGATCAAGGGCAGTATGAGCCCTTATTCGACACAGAAGAAACTGGTATAGTCCTTTCTAACTCTGTTTCATTTCAGAGGTGACTTTCTAGTGTTTGATCCTAAGGGCTGTATTCTACACTCTTACACAAGAGTGCACATTTTTCTATGTATCTCAATGCAGGATGTGGGGCTGGTTTTGCAGATGTTGTAGAAAATCTCATTGCACAATAGTGATCATCATTAAAAAGTCAGTATTTGCCAATAGTGATATATCAGCCTACTGCATTTCTGCTCCTGGATTCAAGATTAAAATTATTTGCAGTATCTGTGTGGTATAATGTGGCAAATATTAACTTCTAAGAGGCTTCTATTTCAGGTTATTTTTCTTGCCTACCTGTGTACATGTTTTTAAGAGTGCAGTACTGAACTTTAATGGTTAAGTGATGGAGATGCAAGGTTTTTCTGATATTGTATTCACATTTCTTTGATTCAAAATAAAAAATGTACATTTTGGTTACTTTTAAAATAGATTTACAATACATGAGATAAATTTACAAGACAGATGTACAATATATGAGTAAATGGACTTAATTAGTCCACATTGAATTGAAAGTAGAGGTAAAATGATATTTGAACTGAATAATCAGGGATATATATCATAGACAAATAGAGACCCTTGATTTCTTGTTTTTCAACTCTCAAAAGAGCCATTTCACTACTAGAGCAACCTAGCATAGGATAAACAGGCTTGTGCATCCCAATTACCCATTGAAAACATATTTTTATATATATTTTGTGACGATTTATCTTTAGACCCACATGTTTGGCAGCTGAACCTAAATGTATTAGATTATAATTTCTACTGGAGTCTAATGAAATATATAAATACTTTCAAGACAATTCCATTTGATATCTCTGAGCCATTTGAAAATTGGACTCTGTCTCTTAAACTACCATAAAAGGCATAAATTGAAAGAATATTTGGTAATCACAAGCCCTTTATGTTGCCACTGCAAAATAAAAGACACAGAACTGGCAAGTGCTTATAAATAGAAGCAAAACTTTTGCCATCGTAAAAGAAATGAGCAGTGTAATATTTACTTCTCATGTCACAACTGCCCTTGTCCTTTCTAAATAACTCATGTGAGTAATGTACATTATTCTTGCTTCATAAACTGAAGTGTTACCATAATCTTTCTGACAACAAATTGCATGGAAATAGCTACAGATATGAAGCATGTGAAAGCTGCAGGATAGGGGAAGGATGCCTATTCTCCTCTCGGTTTGCAGGGATTTACCTGCACAGCTGTCACCAGCATTAAGAATACTGTTGTGAAATGTGTAAATACCTTTTCATCTATGGACTGATTTACCAATGTTTCTTCAGCTATTCACCTGTTTAAGTTCATTAAATTCAACGGCCTTGCACTGGAGTAAGTTTGAGTGAATCAAGACGTGTGATTAGAAAATGCCCAGGCCTAACAGTTGACATGAACACTGCAGAACATGTAACTGTTGCTACATGATAACAGCTATGATTTAAATGATAATCACTTAGGATTTTTTGGCTAATTATTTAACGAACTATCTTGAAGTCATTTTCAGTAACAATGGGTGCATCTACGTGAGATGTTTACTGTGGAGTTGCCTAATTATTCGGTGGCTGAATCTCCAAATCCTAATTGAATCGGGAGACCCATTAATCCCTCTGAATTGAATCGGAAGCCTGCCAGTTGATTCTGAGAGATTCCAAGAGATTCGGCCATAGACTGTAACAGGA